TATAGTCCATCTATGAAGTAAAATAAATCCCAGAGAAAAGTCTAACTAGAAATATTTTAAAAATGTACCCTCTCTTTTTATCATCATATTTCTGAAATAGTATTATACTCGAAAACATCTCTCCATTTTGTGAGTTTCTCTAACTGTGTAGTGGAATGGAAAAGGGCTTTGGAGTTGGTGAATTTTGCTCCTGATATACTAGTTGGTTGCTGAACAGAAGATTTTACATCAAATTGTTGAAAATTATTGTRCCCCTTGGTGCACTATTAACTGAATGCAGGGAATTAGTATCATTCAGTCTTAGAGTGTTTCTCTAAAGCAAASTTTCTTTTTTTTAATGTATTTTTTTTAGTTGTAGTTGGACACAATACCTTTATTTAATTTATTTATTTTCATGTGGTGCTGAGAATCAAACCCAGCATCTCTCACATGCTAGGTGAGTGCTCTAYTGCTGAGCCACAAGCCCAGCCCCAAAGGTTCTTAATTATGGTATTGGTATGAGAATTTTGCTCTTGTCCTCATACACATATTACTTGGATGTTTGCAAGTTCAATGATAGATTTGTATATACTAAGAAAGGTGGTGATTGGAGTTCCTTAGAGCTAAAATTCTAGGATCCTATCTATTGCCCAGGGTAGGTAGTGAGAATATTCCTAAAGTGCCTTGGCCTGGGCAGGATATGATTTCTAAGGCGACTGACATTGTCTCTCTGGGTCACTTGAACATCTGTGGATGCCACTGTTGAACTGATGTTCAGGAAGTCAGAATCTGTAAAAATTCTTTGTCAGAGACAGGCTAGGAATGTGGAGCAGGACTGAAAGAAAGTGTTATTTATCTATCACATGGCAGCTCTGCTCAAAGGAGCATTGGCAAGCTAAATGAAGCCTAGGGTGCTCAACAGGCTTCAGTGCATGGAGGAACTGGGGTGAGAGTTAAGAGAATGTAGAAGGAATGAGTAGGAAAGGTGGCTGGGGTGGGGAGGTAAATACAGTTGGATAAAGGGACACCCTATGGTTACCAGGCCACTTTACCCTACTGAGTACAGATCCCCAGACAAGATCCTGGACTCTATAGGAGCAGGCTTACTTGGAGTTGGCAGCAGCTATAAGACTGATCCTGGGAGTTGGAGGGAGGGAGCAAATGATGTTTCAAAGTTTGAACACTGCTCCAGATGCCATTCTACACACAACCTTGACCTCAAGTTGTCCCCTTTCTCCAAGGGGCTGGGTACGACTTGACAGCTATACTTAATTCTTTGGAACACTATTATAAGTMATTATTGTAAAATGAATGAATGTGAGGGTACTTTGAAGTTAAATATATGGAAAAATAACTGCTTATATCAATGTTGTCATTTTGAAAATTAATTTTGTATGATTATTTAGATTTTAGGTTATACTTATTATATCACTGTATTCACTTATATATTCATATATTTTCTTGAGTAGGAGAGAAATGAAATATGTTGGGAACTGCACAGGGCTCTGAATATTCCTGTGGGAGAAACTTAGGTATAAGAATGTCAGCAGAGGAAGGGCAAGATCTGCTGCTTCAGATAGTGAATGCCTTTTCTGACCAAATATTTTTCTATTATGTACTCTGACTTAAAAGGTAAGATTTTGGTACAGAGTTTGTAAAATTTCTAATATGCTAATATAAAATTATTTAATTGTGAGCTTTTCTCATCCCCTTTTGTCACCTTAAATTCTTTTTCTCTTACTACTTTGTCAAGAGAAAGGATAAAATCTTCTTAGGTGAATTCCTGAGGGGGAAAAAAAGCAATTAGAGGGGAATAAAAACCATGGGGACCTAATGCATTAGTGAGTTGTATCAGCATATGTGTGAGAGAAATGTGGGAGTTTGGGGGCACTATAGAAAAGAAGAGTGCAGTAGAGTTTAGTAAGAGTCACTGTTAGGCTCCTTTACATGTTTGAGAGGCATATGAGGAGAAAGATTGAAATTCTACACTGTTATGTTTCCTTAGTCCAACATCACTCTGGGACAGATGTCTGGCACTGGGATGTGGTGGATGGAGAGTCCTGTCACATGAAGGGGTTTGTCACAGTTTTATAGCCATAAAACAAACCTTGAGTTCTTTAGCTAATATTGTTATCCTTTAATCTACTGCATCTCTTCCCCCTAAACAGTCACAGTTCTCTGGATCAGGGACAGGGTGGGTGGGTGGTAGTRATAATAAGGGGATGGCAAGGGGACACATTCCAGCTTTTGTTCAAATAAGATGCTGATAAGACTCAGACATGAAACCTTTAGAACTATGGTTCATTTTGTTTCTGAAAAAGTATATTAAGGGCAAAAGCAGTAGCACATATGTCTTTGTCAGAAACAAGGATAGCAAATCAGTCACAAAAAACTTCCATTTGGTCTCCCAGAGATTAGACTGTAGAATTGAATCAAGCTGCCAACCTTATATAAAGCACCTGACTTTTGGCCTACGTGTGACAGGGCTATCACAGAGTTTGCCAGTCACTGGCGCTTTGCACAGAAGATTCATGCACCTCACTAAATCATCAACCTCTGACCCTTAGATACAACCCTTCATCTTGGCTTGACCATTGGATCCTTTTTGCTTTTTGGCATTTTCTCAGATTCTTTCATTAATATATCTTCCAAATATGATAGKTACTCATAATCTTGAAAATGCAGACAAGCAACTGTCTTATCTACTTTTACTTTTCTTTCCAAAGAAGACTTTTACCTGCCTGTCTCTATATAGTCATATCATACTTAAACAGCTTTGTTGGCAGGCACTGACTGTAAAGTCTGTAAACTCTCTACCACAACAWCAGGCCCAGATTAAATTATTTTAGCTTTAGAGATTCCAAAGTCATCTTCTATGAATGCAAACTCATTTCATGGTCCCTTTCTATTAGGACTTTTTCCTCAATATTCAAGCATGCCAAAGCCTCTTCAATAAAACATATGAAAATAGGAAACAAGATATATTTCCTCTACTTCTCTTTCTCTGGAGAAACATTTCTGGAAACACAAATTAGTACTGTGCATTGCTCTTCTCTCTGACTTCACATTCATTCCTCCTCTATTGCAAGATGTCTTCCACAACTTTATTGAAAATACTCTTGCAAAGGCTGCCTATGAACACCTGAATGCCTCACTGCCCAAACCAATGGACACACTTCACATTTTATTTTACTGAAACTTTGTGAAGCCTTGGACCTTATGCTCCTTGAAGCTCTCTCCTCTTCAGGCTTATGACACAACACCCTATATTTTCTTCATTACTTGTTTGACTCTTCTTTCTCACTCTCCTTGGGGTATACTTTTTCAGTTCTTAAGTCTTGGTGTGTTCTAGAGGATGGCCATTTTTTTCTTGTTGATTTGAATCCTTCATATTCTTTATTGGTTTTCTGAAGGACACTTAAAGCTTAAGATACAATCCACATGCTAATGATCTTCAAATCTACATCCCCAGTCCAGACCTTTTTACTTATAAAAAGAGACCCCACCTATAAATTTMACTACCTATTGGATATCTCCACTTAGATGTCCCACAGGCATGTCTGACATAGCATGCTGAAAATGATCTTATTTCTACTCCAAAATTTGTCTTTCTTCCTCTCTTAATGATTATACCATCCATTAGCTTGTCTAATAAAGAAGCCTGATAAAGTTTCTTGATTCTTTTCTCTTTTCCTCCCTGCATATTCAATCAGTGACCAGGTCATATTGGTTTTCTTGCCTTATAGTAAATAAATTCTTTTATCTCCTGACCCCAAGTGTATTCCTGTTTCATAAGTTAGGTCCTGATCTCTTGTATCTTGGATTATTGAAAACATATAATCATATCTGATTCCAGTCTTGTTCCTTATTTTGCAATCAATCAAAATCAGCCCTAGGGTGATCTTTCTGAAATGCAAATGTGATCATGTYATTTTCTTGCTTTAAAAAAATCCTTCAATGGCTGTCCATTGCTTTAATGACAGAATCCCAAAGTGCCTTTCTCCCCATCCCCCACTCCTTTACTGCTYCCTGTGTTGGACCACTTTGGGGAAGATGGGCTAGAGTAATAGTTTAATCTCTAGCTATTTCATGCTTGGCTTCACTTTACTGAGACTGCCAATTAGTGATTTAGAGGTGAACTCTTATATGCTCACTGTGAACTGAAACCTGTTTCAAATAGTCCTTGAAGGGCCTTGGCCTTATTGTCACTAAAGCACTACACCGACTTGAACCTGTGACCTGAAGCTGAACGTCCGAATATCCTCTTGGCTATCCCCTGAGTCAGGGAAAAATGAACTTGGGAAATGCTATAGTTATTTCTAAGTCTAATTTMTCCTAAAAGAAGAAATATATTTCCRACTTAATGATATTTTAAATGTAATATTTTSAGACATAGATGACAATCTTTTTTTCTTTGACTTTTCTCCTTCTTATAATTGCTTTTCAGAGAGAGGTGAGTAGATCTTCTCAACTCCACTGACTTTTATAAAATGGTGTATGARTGCCTTTATTTTCTTGTCTTGTAGTCTGTCCTTTTCTGGTTTTAGGAAGTTAACAACAGCTAGATGTGATCATATCACCTGGAAGCATTCTTGCTCCTGGCTGATTCACAAATTACCTGTCTTGCCTGCCATTTTAGATAGAGGGACATAGCACAGATTGGACAAGAAAATTAGAGGTGCTGCATGTACAAAAATTGTATTCATGAAGGTAAAGAGGGATCCATAAAGAAAGATYGATAAATATCAAAGGCCCACATGTAAAAAATATAAACAGACTAATTCATAAAGTTGAAATAGMAAAGAGAAGGGGAAGCTACTTTTTTTCCTCATGAAAAAATTTCCATAGTTTCATTAATGCCAACACTTTGTTCAGCTGATAAATAAAATATAGCTTATACAAGACCGACAACTAGGTAGTCACCAGGGCAAACTCTTTCCCCTCTATCTACTATTCTTGTCTGTAGCCTAAAAGAAATTATGATTGTCAAGGGGGGAAAAAAACAACATTATGCATCTTACACAAGGATGTCTTCCACTAGGGTGTGAAGGGCACTGGGATTGCGGATCAGTTTGTCAAGGAAGCTGACAATGTCAGTAAATTTTGGTCTGTGGTTTCTCTCCTTCTGCCAGCAATGGAGCATCAGTTGGTGTAGAGATGCTGGGCAGCCCATAGGAGCTGGAAGTCTGTAACCTTCTTCAATGGACAGAATGACCTAAATGCAAACAAAMACAGATTATTCTCTTATTTTGGGGGATAATTATATATATGCTAAGTAACAATTACTTTATATGCAAGCAACAGGAGCCAAAATATTGGTGAGCTTGTGAATACACAGGAAAAATAGCAAAGTTCTGAACAAGAGCTGAAAATAGCCCCACAGTGCATGCTGACCRCTATTAGAGAAAACAGGTTTTAAACATGCTGTGTTACTGGTGTACACAAGATAGCTAGATTTCACCACAACCTCAAGAAAGAGTTTTTTTGTGATTTTGCTGGAACATGAGAATGTCAGTGTGTGATCCATGCATTTTGTGCAAACTAAAGCAAACTAATGCAAACTATATGTGATGATCATTTCAGGTAAAATTTAAGTAAAATTCTGCTAAAGCGTGATTTCTGGAATCATTTTCTATCCTCTTTATAATAATRTCAATGTATTTTCTTTTCTATCATTCCTTCTTTATCATGTATTTAATTTCTTCTCACTTTTAGCTTTCTCTCAAGTCTGACACTGACCTGACAATGAAGTCATCCTTTCATAAYTTATAAGGTTGTTTAATCCTTGAAATGCTACCAATGGCCAGTCACCAATCAATAGGARCATTTAGCCCCAGCATGAAACAGAACTTCTGTGATGATACACATCTTCTCTCTGTCTGGTTGGTAGCAACCAGTCATGTGTGACCATTGAGTATTTGAAATCTAGTTACAAGGACTGAAGAACTGAATTTTTAATTTGAGCTAGTTTTAATTCACTAAAGTTTAAATTAAATGACTACCTTCTATGGAATAGCAGCTTTAGGGAAAAAAAATACGCATAAGAAAGTAAAGTTAATTTTCCCGTTCCCCTCTCAACCTCTTATGTGTAATTTTGTATAACAATGAGGGTCTTCACCATTACCATGCAATTTCCCTTTTCACTCCCTTTCCCTCCCACCTAATGTATCTGTTTAATGTTGATCTTTTCTTCCTGCTCTTTCTCCCTGCTCTGTTCTTAGAAGAAGGTGGGAGGGGAGGGGARGGGGGATAGTAGAGGATAGGAAAGGTAGCAGAATACAACACTTACTAATAGGGCATTATGTAAAATTGTGGATGTGTAACCGATGAGATTCTGCAATCTGTATTTGGGGTAAAAYTGGGAGTTCATAACCAACTTGAATCTAATGTATGAAATATGATATGTCAAGAGCTTTGTAATGTTTTGAACAACGAATAAAAAAAAAGAAAGTAAAGTGAAGAGTAACAACAGGATGACAATTTGTTAGTCTTGGTACTTAGAAAATCACACAAGATCAGGGAAGACACTAATCTGTTTCATATATGACCCACCTGGGAACTTCCTAAAAATGCAATAAAACTGATCCTAAATTCATGTTGCTTAGTTTTAGTAAAATGTTCAAATGCGTTTTGTGAACCTTTTTTTTTTTAAAATATCATCTCTGGAGAAAAATAAAAGACAAAGGGTTTATTCTCCATATTTTTGGGGTGGCAATGAGGTAGGAAAGAAAAAATAAGAACAGGTGGAAAAAAGACAAAGAGGGAAAGAAAAAGGGACTATAGATTTAAATCTAAGAACCCTGCGAACATCCTCAGTTTCACCCACCCAGGATTATTTTCCTGTAGGCCTGAATTCTTAAAAGATCCAGTAAATCTAAGAGCACTGTGAGTCCAGTTAATTAGTGCCTATGTACCTTATTAGATTATAGAATGTATCCTTAGACTGACTAAAGGAAGCAGAGAGAGAGAGAGAGAGAAAGTGAGAGAGAAACACGGTATGGGTACACAGTCCAAGTGCTATGTATTAACTAGATAATGTCAAAACGAAGATTCTGAGAAGAACCAGATGACCATGACTGCTCTCTGCGCCACCATGAAAAGAATCCAGCTCATTAAGCTGACTCATCCCACCTATGGTTCAGGCTCAGCATTTCCTTTAAAAGTTAAGCCAGAGGCCCCCAAAGAACTTCTCTCTAATACCTATACCCCTCTCCCTTTGAGTGCTGTATCCTGTGCTATTATTACTTTCCTGAATAAATATCCTTGCTTTATTAAATAAAACTTGGCTTGTGCCTCTTTTGATATGTCCCAAAATTCCCTTCTGTGGGATAAGAACCTGGAAGGGTTAMTTTGAGGTACCCTTTTCCTTCTGGGAGCCTCCTTAAACCTTATCTGGTGACAGAAAAACTGAGAATCAAACTAATATTTAAAGACAGGGACAGTTACACCTTACCACCACCCCATCCCAACACCCAAAATGCAAAAAATGTAAATGTTAATATCTTTAACAGAAGAATCCTACTGCAGCACCCTCTGCACATTTTCTGTAATTAAAAAGAAATATGGACTCTCCATTTTTGTTTATTTTTTAAATTGGCACCATTTGACATGACCCTAAAATATGTTATTCCTGAATTTATGTTACAGGTAGTTTGTAAAAAAAAAAAATGAAGCAGCAATGATATATGTTSGGGAATCCTTTAACCACTTTAGTATTAGGGAATCCCAATTAGTGTCTTTATGACCATAATCCTTTAAAATGTAAGGATATTTATATTTTTCTATTAATTTTATGTTCCATTATTAAACAARATTTTTTTCTGAACTTTTTTTCTGGCTACTTTGGCTGTCAAGTAGGTTTGGATTTTAAGATAATTTATTACAAATTTTAGTAAAACAGGAGTGTATAAAATGCTTTTAATATATCATAATTACTGTGGGTAGCTTCAAAAAGTAATTAAGAAAAAATAGTATAGAATTACATTAGAGAATAACCTTGAATTCCCACCCTAGCAGAGCTTTATAGTCAATTTGCCCCAGTTTCCTAATTATAAGAACATGGAGTAAAATAGGTGGCAAGTGATATTATGAAAAAATGACAACTGTATTTATTGAATATTTCCCAGGGGTTAGRTTGTTCATGTATTTTTCTTTATTTACTGCTTAAAATTACTCAGTGTAGTAATTATTATTATCCCTATTTCATAAATCAAAAATTTAGACTCAGAGCAGTTAGGAAACTTGCCTAGATTCACAAAGTATGCAGCAGAACTGGAATTTGACCTTAGTTCCTTTTAAACTCAAAATTTCTCCTCTGGTCTTTCATCAGAGACGTTTTTCCATTTTCATGATGCAACATCTTCTGCTCTAATTTTATATCACTTAACTTAATCTGAACACTGATTACCATGTTACATTTCATGATAGCTTATGTTAAGTGGACTTCAAGGATTTTATAAATTTAAAATAAAAAACATATTTACTTCATAGTCTGTAAACTGTCATATTCAACCAAGAAGTCAGTTCTGAAAGCTTCTGAGTCTTATGTAAATTTGTATTACTGTAGCTATTATTTTGAATTGCTATTTCTCCATTTGCCTTTCCTCTAAGGCTATGTGCACTTGAAAGCAGAAATTATCCCTCTAGATTTTGTTTCCTCATCATTTAGTACAGTGTTGGACACAGTGATAAATGCTACTGACCTAAACTAAAGCAATTAGAARAACTTTTTGGATTCATCTTGATAAAAGAACAGATTTTTAAAAATAAACTTGGAGTATCAAACCAGCCCAAATGGATTCAAAGCACAAGCACCATAGTATCTGTACTCATAACTTATATATTAATTTTAAAAGTAAGGTGAATTAAACAGCATTATCTAAAAATGCTATTCTAATGAACTAACTGTGATTTGCTTGGACAAGCCAGGAAGAATGGGGTGTTCAGGTTTGAAGTGTTCCCCAAAATTTCCTGTGTTAATGCAGCCATATTCAGAAGTGAAATGACTGGGTTGTGAGCTGTAACCTAAACAGTGCATCCTACTTTGARTGGACAAACTGGGTGTTAATTGTAGCCTAGAATAAGTGGGTCACTGGCGGAGTGCCYTGGAAGGATTCATCTTCTCTGTGGTCCCTTCTCTTTGTCTTTGATTCTCCAGCTACCATAACATGAGCAGCTTTCTTCTGCCATACCCTTCTACCATGGTGCTCTTCCTCTCCTTGATCCCAGAGTGATGGAACTGGCCAACCATAAACTAAAACTCTGAAACCATGAGCCTAAATAAACATTTCCTCCTGTAAATTGTTCTTKTTGGGTATTTTKGTCACAGTGATAAAAARCTAACATGCTGGAGACTTGCTCTTATCTAATAAACAGGAATTTTACTCAAACATCTTTTGACTGTAATCCCTTTCCTGCTGTCCAGAGGAGTCATTATTTTCCTCTGTTCCCATTTCTGGGAGTGAACTCTCATAAATAACTCCTATAAACAGTTGATATCCAAATCCAGATTACTTGGCCTCAAGCAGGTTGTTCATCCCTCTTGACAAAGTTGTTCTCAGGCTTTCTCTCTATGAAGAGTGTAAGAGGGTAGAGTCCCTTGCCTGGAGATTTACCATGAATATGTCCAACAGGGTGTCTGGTTCCAGCTTGCCTGTCTGTGGAGCAGTGGGAAGAACAGGGCACCCATGACTTTTCTTCTTGCTGATCTTTGACTTTAAGTTTTCTAAAATTTTTAACTCTTGACCTTATGAAATTTGTCTTGAACTCTGCCTCATGATCCCTCACATAAAGAGAAAACATATAGTGGAATAATTCCACAATGCTAGTTCTAAATAATATACCTGTATTTATTCTTTTAAACTTTATAATAAACCYGTTGGGCAAGTACAATTGTTATCCTCATTTTATGGACAAGAAACTTCATCATATTGAGGTTGAACTTACCTAAGGTCACATACGTAAAATCTCTAGCTTTAAGGCTAAAAAGCGACTCAAAAATATAAATTACACAATTGCTTAAAAAACCTTTCTAATGGGTTTTAAACTTATTTATCCAAAGATGTAGATATTACTCACTTAAAATAGTTGGCCATTATGCATAAGAGATAACATAATGAGTAAGGTATATCTTCATCTTTAGGAGATTATATAATGTAGTTAAAGGAGGGCAAGGATTATGATACAGCAAATGCCACTCAGAACAGAATGGGAGCA